GCAGCTTCATCTTCATTAATCTTTGTTCAATATATCCACCATACCTCCTCTGCACATCTCCAGACTATCTCAGCCTCGCCTCTCTAACGTTGTCTTCAAGAATTTGAAGCAATCTAAACTTTTTTGTTCGTTTTCTTTACAGACAGAGCAGCGTGTGTTTGTTTGCTTTGTTCAGATTCATTACTGCAATTACTTTGAAGTTGAAAAATTAAGCCTTTAAGCATCATTTGTGCTTTCTGACTGGGTCCCAATGAGGATATCAAGCCTCATCTCTGAATCTCCTAATTAACACACCCCATATTATGACTAAAAATTAATAACAAAACTAATAAAAACTTTAACTGGAAGGAGTAAACACAGCCTGGAAATAAACTAAATTGAAACACTCAACAGCACTGTCAGAAACAGTGAGCAGATCACAGGAGACAGAAAACGATCTGCCTGACTGAAGTATTTCTGTGTTCTCAGAGAATGATCGACCTCTGTATGCAGAGCTCTGCCTTCAAGCTCAAACTATGGATTAGGTGGAATCATTACAAATGCTCAATAGCTCCTATTGCAATCAAACTATTACAGTCTGATTATGTTTTTATGTTTGTTTTTTATTTCTTATGTGTATTTGCTTTGGTGTAATGCTGCAGCCTAACTGCCAAGTCTGAGCTTAAATATTACACTAAATCGTCTTCACTGTAGTTTTTTTCCCTTGCATTCTCAGATGCTTCATTTTAACATTTTTAGACGCCTAAGATGTGAAACCATTATGTATTTCACAAAAGTATCTTATTTTCTGTAAAAACAAGAACATTAATTAGTTTTAAAAACTGAGGTCCTTCACTGATCCCCTCTCGACTGTTTGGTTTCAACACTTTAATTTCTTTTATATAATTAAAGGAAGCCAGTCACTCTGTAATTATACGTTTTCAACAGGCTGTGTAGCAAAATCATGGCCCAGTCATTTACAAATGTGTTAAGAGGTGTGATCAGTATTTCCTCCAGTTAAATGTGGCTCAGACCAAAGAACGCTTATTGATTTTTGGAGGAGGCCAAGTCCCCCTGTTCCTGCACCATTTCTCAATAAAGGTGACCCATTGGGAGAAGTGCAGCCATAAAAATACCTGGAAGAGAAATTAAATGCTGTTTCAAATACAGATGCATTGTTCAGAAAGGGCAATCGTGGCTGTTTTTTTAAAGTATCTTGGAAATGCTTTATTCAGTTTCTTACTGAGTCTGTGCTTTTATTTTCTGTGACTTGCTTATTTGGCAAAGCCTTAATCTTTAAAACCGGTGAAAAGTAGAGAAAACGGTTAAGTTGTCCTGTAAGATTACCGGGCACCACCTTTAGTGAATTTCAGTATCTGTGTGAAATCAAGAGTCCTCTCAAAGGGACAGACTGTCGTTTTAGAATCTCAGCATCCTTTACATATTAACAACCACACGTTTCTATCAGAGAGAAGGTTAAGTCGCCCCACAGTTAGCACTAATAGACTCAGGCAGTCATTTGTTCCATCTCCTGCTGTATGTTTTAAATAACTTTTAACTTTTAACCATTTCCCTCAGTTCACTGTAGGATTTTGCATTCTATGTCTGTACTGAGTTGGATCACTGTCTGCAAAACAAAGTGTCACATGGTGATGTTGAAGCTTTATTACATGTTATTACTATTTTTGGACTGCTTTATTATTCTGAACCACCCCTTAAAATATACTTTGATACTTGAGGTGGATGACCTTCAGGCTGGGCACCTCTGCTTTGACTGTGTTAGCCGCCAACTCCAGGTAATCACACACTCTTTATATAAAAACGCATCTATTAATAGGATCGTTGTGACCCAGACTCTCACGTGTGTTTAGCGTTACCCCTACCTGTGTATCCGTCCAACCACAGCTGGTAAACCTCCTCATCCATGATGGTGGTGTTACCCACGAACACATCCAGCTCTACAGACATCTGCTTAAAACAAACAAGAAAAACATGTTTATTGTTTAGCTCAGGTATCACCGACATATAGCTGATTAGCTCGGATGATATTATACCTTGTTCTCAGTGTTCTCTCAGGTAGCTGGCGGCGATAAAATCGTGTCTGCAAAGTGAACTATTTAATTCTATTAGCTGGGCTTAAATTTGCTCTCCATGGCTTACTGATTAGCTAACTTCCTCCATAAAATGTTAGCCTCCGGAGCTAGCCGAGCTGCACAGTTATCGACGGCCAATAAACGGGCAGCACTGCGGCGAATTAAGACCACGTTAATGTGACGATATGACACGATTATTAAGCAGCTTTTGAATTTACAGCAACAACGTCTATGAAATATTACAGCCCGTGAGAGACACGAGTGCGTAATGTCAACAACAGCAGTCACGTAGCAGATACTTCCGGTTCTATGATGTCACAGGAAAAGCTCCCGAATTAAAAATATGTTTTTGTTTTTTGGTTAATTTAAGTTTATTTTAATTTAATTGCCATTTTAATTTCTTTCCCATGTTTTTTTTCTATTAATCAGTATTTCGGTCGCATCTTTTTTGTATCGTGTGAAATTCCTTTGATCGTTTATGTCCGCTATGTTCATTACCTTCCTTGCAATAAAGCTATTGTTTTAGATACCTATGTTTTAGATACTTATGTCATCGTCTTATCACAAAACTCAGGCACTGAAAACATTCAATGTACACGTGACTGCTTTTTATATTAAATAAATAAATAAATAAATGTGTTTTTTATAGTGTATATATATAGTATATATATATTCATATTAACACAGAAACATACTTCTTTCCAACTCATTCACACCTCTATCAACACACTCAAGGCAAATAATAATAATAATAATAATAATAATAATAATAATAATAATACCCCTGCTCCCCCGGAAGATCATACAGTGGCCACAAATGACTGAAAGAGAATACTTTTGCTGCACATACTGAAGGATATCTCCTTTCTCAGGAGCCCGGCACGCCTTTTTGTTTACAGCCTCTGTGTTGGTCTTCCAGTTCAGCCTGTTGTAGACGTGGACACCCAGGTACTGGTACTCTTCCACCACATAAACACCCCGTCACAGGATAGAAACGGGTCGTATAACAGACGTCCTCTTCCTTGTGAAGTCCATCACCAACTCTCTGGATTATGGTGATTCTATTTTATTTATTTATTTTTGCAGGATTTTGCTATATCTACATATAGCACAGCCCTTCCCGTGTTTTTTTTTTCTTTTTCAATTATCTTTCATTGGCTTAAACATCAGTTTTCTCGGTGTGTGGGGGGGAGGGGGGGTCTTGCTCTTTTTCCCATTAACAGTTACTGCAGACGTCTCACATGACTGTGGGCAGCATGTGACACAACTATGAGACGCCCCTGAGGATTACCAATATGAATAACACACCATTCATCTGTAGTTTTTTAGGAGCTGATCATGTGCTTTTAAGGTGTGGCTCTGACAAGTGAATACGTAATAATAGGTAATGTTAGTGCAGACAAAACGGTAACTTCTGTGATATTAGAGTGTTTAGATACATAGAAAATCATTATCATTGAAAGCTTGACAAATGGCCTTCAGGATCAGCAGTTTTCTTTTATTTCTTCAATGTTTGGCCTCTCTTCTAAGCCAACGTCTACTTTGATTGACCATCCAAGGGTTGGATTAGAGGTGAATTACCCTACAGTAACTCAACAGGCAACATTCATTTAAAGAAAGAAAGACTTCAGTGACCAGACAAGAAAATCCGAAAGATAATGAACGATTATGTGAAGACTCAAATTACAGCACTGCGCCTGGCAGCCACACAGTACCCTATTGTTGATCATTTGTTCCCTAAGTTATTATAAAATGTGTCAGATCAGAGATAGGCTTCTTTGTGAGCACCGGGCCCCACAGTGCTGTGCGCTTTGCTTGCTGCCTGCGTTTACACAATCTGCTCTTTTCCTCCGACGATTAATCTAAATAAATCCCCGTAAATCCCTCTCCTCGCCCTCCCTTTCTGTGTTTCTGCATGTGTCCTTCAAAAAAGAAAAATCACAACACGGGAGGGTGAAAACGAATCAGCCAAACACGCCTTTTTTGACTCTCCTGCTGCGCATCAACACTCTCATTTCTAACCTCACATGACACCCTGATTCCATCCCCAGATCCCCCTTGCGCGGTTAACACCCTACATTGTTGTGGCCTCAGTGAAACAATGGAGGTGGGACAGAGGGCGGAAGGATGTGGCTGAATGCCTCAGCATAAACCCATGGAAAAAAAGGGTCTGCAGTCACACTTTCCGCCAATGTTCTTTGAAAAGTAACAAGTACAACCAGGAGTCACTCATGCACTCCACTGTCATAGACATGTATCTGGTTTTTGAGGATGAGATCATTCTAATGAACAGGAAAAACCGAAGGAAGTGGGTTTACACAGGCTTTTCCTATCAGTTTCCTTCATACATTTCCAACTTGTTTTGGTTTCATAGCATGAAAAGGATAAGAAAAAAGAAAAGAAAAATACAATAAAATAAAGAAATAATAAAAATGGGTTTGAATCCAAATGGGGGCGCACACGTTCCTCATTGAGGGAGCGCGTGGAGAGAGGATCTTCCATGTCAAATCTCGTTATTTAGAGTGGAATTAGATGAACCACAGAGCTTTAGATTATTAAATGTTGCCATTTACGGCTACAAAACAGGCTCAAATAACGCAATGTGGAATTGCCACACTGCGAACACCAGAGAAAACCACAAACAGTTCTGATTACTAGCTTATCTAAGGAAATTTGCCAAGTTACAAATCCTGATAAAGCAGTAACGTTTCCTTTAAAACGTCTACAAAATAAAAGCACCTCTGCTGAGCATCGCGGCTTCACTAAAACGCGACCAAAACTAAAAGGCGTCACTCGTTACAAATATATAATCTAGTTCAGCGGTGCTCTCAAAGCAACATTTGTGACAGTTCTTTTCTTAAAAACAACAATCCGAAGCTTTTATTTTGAAGGCTGCTTGTACTGGTCTCCGTCAGAGCTCCAGCTTCACACGCAGCTCGCTGCTTAGCGGAATCACAGCCGTGAAAGTGGCGGAGGCGGACATTGTTGTGGTAACAGTCCATCTCCGGAGGATGAGCACAGATGATGATGTACATATTTTGAGCGGTGAGCTTTGTTTGTTATTTATTTTTTTATCTAAACAATGAATCTTTTTTAAAGAAAAAGGGGGGTAAAGCTGCTGCGCCGTGCGGACTCCTGCAGCTACCGGAGTTCATTCAGCTGAGGCGAGACAAGCACAGCCCGATGAGACGATGCCAGCGGTGTAGAAATCACAACATCTGCAGAGTGTGCTTGGTCAAGCCTCCGTGGACTCACCGGGCCTTTGTCCAGAAAAGCCCACGGAGCGGCTGTTGCCTTCAAAAAAATACTGCGCGGGGAGGAGAAATAAGGGCTGCTGTGCTCCCGGAGGCCTTTGGAGAAAGCAGCCTGCTGCTGAGAGGATGACAGATTGACGTTAATAGGGGCTTGCGGTGCGTTTTTCACACACGACCTCATTAAGGCGTTATCCACGGAGAACAGCACAAAAAGGGACTGAAGTCACAGCCTTGGAGATAAAGACAATCTAAATAAAGACACCACATGTTTCTGCCTTGATTTTACCTCCGGTGATCAAATACATTACATCTGGATTACAGCGGATGCATGTGTTGAGCATTAAATATAGCCACATCTCAGCGCTTTTAATAGATTCTCAGGTACCCAGAGGTGTCGTTTTTTACTGAAAGAAGAAAAAATGGGTAGCGAAGGTGAGATAATAAACAGAGAACTGTCAAAGATGTCTGACGAGGACTTGCTGGCGTGCTCCAAAGAGGAGCTGGTGAGCCGGTTGCGTAAAGAGGAGTCAGAGAAAATATCGGCTCTGATCCAGCGCGGTCGGCTTATCAAAGAGGTAAATAAACAGCTGCAGGGACACCTCCTCGAAATCAGGGAACTGAAAGTCATCAATCAGCGCCTGCAGGAGGAGAACACGGAGCTGCGGGACCTGTGCTGCTTCCTAGACGACGACCGGCTCAAAGTGAAGAAGCTGGCCCGGGAATGGCAGCTGTTCGGGCATCACGCAGCCAAAGTGATGCGGGAGGACCTGGGTGGGTACTTGAAAAAGCTCGCTGACCTGGAGCGCATGCAGGACGGGCTGGTGAAGGAGAATCTGGACCTGAAGGAGCTGTGCCTGGTCCTGGAAGAGGAGTGTGTGAGCAGGAGTGACTCCAGTCCAGGAGGTTCCACCGAGCTGAATCTGCCCTGCATGGTGGCCCGGGACCTGGGAGATGGGAGCTCAAGCACAGGCAGCGTGGGAAGCCCAGACCAGCTTCACCTGGTGTGCTCACCTGATGACTGATGGCAGGTGTGTGTCAGCAGCTGAGGACTGGAGGGAGACAAAGGTGCTCTGTCAGATAGTACAAATTAATCTGGAGGATTAAAAAAAAAAGCATTAGGGCTTTCTGAATGCTGCAAAGATTTGTGTGCCACTAGACTTGAGACTCTTTCCACATTTCAGGACTTTACAAAGACATTTATTAGATGTTTGCCAGATGATAACATGTCTAAATTTTACAGTGTTTTTTCTAAAGAATCTCCTGAAAATTCTCCTTTTTCAGTGGTCTGTTGTTGAGAAAAAAATGGGACCAAAAAAGTGGGTCACATATATAAATTTATCTCATGCACTGGATTAGCCTACACTGGTAGAAGCCTTTTTCTCAATTGCACTGGACAGCGTTATCTTGGATCTTGAAAACACAGATCTAAAGATTCATTTCAATCCAGTTTCGAGCCATATTTAGTCCTCTGAATTCCAATAGCACTGAAACAAAGGAAACTATTTGATAATTGCTTTTTTTGCTAATGATGTGTAATATTTTATGCACTCTCGCTTCCTCAGGACAGGATTGGAGTGCCATGTGTGCATGATGATTGTCACCATTTGTAACAAAGCCTGTGAAGCAGCCTGACGTGAAGGCCCTTTAGGTTTCCTGAGGGGTGGGGCTGCTGAGAATAATGTAACACGTGCAGACCTACACACTCACTTTGGATCAGGCATGGTAGATGTTGTTGGACCTCACGCAGAGCTGAACTGAAAAATAAGTTCTGTCACTATTTTTAAAATTCAACTGGAAAACTCTTTGTATCAAACTGGAAGGTCTACAAGTTTTGGTTGATTTTTATTCTGTTTAAGCCGAGCTGTTTAAATTCTTTTTTTTCTTCTTGTCTTTGTTTTTTTTAAATGAAGTTGTTGCTGAATTATCATAAGATTTGTTAGCTTCTTCTTCTGTAACTCATGCTTTGTATTTAATCTGTAACATTAGGAGCAAACTTAACTTCAGCCCTTCTTTAATCTTGATTTGTCTGTATTAACTAGCTTTACTAACCAGTTTCAGTTTAAACCATAGCACCTGGATTACAAGAGGTTTATTTTGTTGTTAGCTGTTTATTGGTGGGCTATGCTCGTAGTGCACTGAAAATCTTTAAATACAGTGGCTATGACACTCGGGGCTGTTCTGACCTTTCTTTGTGTATTTGCCTTGCAGAAAACATGCATTTAACATGACACACACGACAAATTGATTTCTGCATTTGTTCTGACCTTCGTGTTTGAACCAACTGCGCTTGATTGATGCTGCCTTCATGCCACACTGACTGACGTTATGGATATTCATCAGTTTTATTTTTGGAGCCCTATTTGCACAGTCTGGAGAGCTGATGGGGGTGGAGGGGGAGTGATGCTTTTACCCACTTAGTGATGCACAGACGTCCTTTGACAGCAGCGTACATACAGATTTTTTCTCCCTCGTGCTCTCCAGCTCTCAATCTGACTCTTGTTCCATCTCCGCCTCTCTGCCTCGCTCATCCCATTTTAGCAATTCAATGCTCTCTGAGCCGTGTATGTATTAGCAAGAGATTCACTTCATTTTAGGGTAACAGAGGCCACAGTGTTGAGAGTGGAGCGTCAGAGAGTGGCCAGCAGAGTTTGTCAGCGCATGGTGCAGTAATCAAACTCTCTTACTCGCTGCCATTAATGATTAATTCAGTATTTATTACTGTGTCAGGTATTTTCTCAATTAACTGATATGAAGTATGGCCTTAACACCCAGAGTCAAAGGGTAATGTCTTCAAAGTATTGGATTTTTTCTGATCAACAGTCTGAAGATGTTAAGATCAAAGACCACAGAAACCTGGAGAAGCTGCAGTCCAGGGGCGGAGCCAGGCAGGGGTCTGGGGTGGCACTGCCCCCAGAACCAATAATGAAGCTTATTGGGGGGTTCTTCGCACATAATCATAGGAGTTAAGAAGTAATCAGACACAGCTGGGTATAATCTTAACAATCAATTAATGTTTATCAACAGTTAAAAAATAATTAAATTAACAACCATTGCATATTTCTTTAAAAATGATTTAAAATGTGACTGTATACGAGTCTTCACAGTGTACATGTCTACATGTGTGAAAACCTATTTCTGCCACTTAAAAAATAATAAATAAATGAACAATTTTTTCATCTATAAGTAAAAATGCTGTGTTATTACCAAAAATTTTGAGTTGATATTTTGAGATAAACCAAAATTTTGTCTTCGGATGGCAGAAAAATGTTGATGGTGGAAAGAAGCAACTCAAAAATTTTAGTTTTGACCTAAAGACAACTTTCCATCAATTTGTGTTTCGTCCCAGTCTAAGTTAAAAAAAAAGTGTATAAAAACTGTCTGACTCCACCACTGCTGCGCCTGGAGAATATTCAGCATTACTGCTCAATTAAAAAGAAATTACTAGAACATTAAACTTCAATCAGGCAACTGATCAATGAATCGAATCCTCGTTTCAGTCGCGTTGTCACGTCTCATTTACATTTCTGAATCTCTTTCACACATTTCAAATGATCCAGACAATCGACTCTGAGTAATCTGCTGTTTTTCAGATGATTTTCAGTCACAGTCTCTTGCTTATTTTGCCAATAACTGTACACCATTTCTCTTTGCACACACCTTTGTTCTTTATTATCTGTTTTTTTTTCAAACAAAGACAAATTTAAGGCACTGCCCTCCAAACAGTTCATTTTAACAGAAAACATAAACAGTACCAAAAAATATATTATATTCTCCATAATAAATATGTGATTATATCACTTATAATAACTCCTATGGCCCAGCCTTAGTGGTCAGTAATTTGTATAAAGATAATATTAGGGTTCTGAAAGGGTCCACGCATAAATATGGACCTGTTAGTTTAAGCACTCCGTTTCCCTTATTGAGGACTTTCACAACACACTGTAACAATGTAGTAACTTATCAAAGGGAACATTATAATGTATTATATCTAATAATATATGATTAAATGGAGTTATCACAGTTATGTGTACAACGTTTGTATAATTAGAGAATATAGTCTGCATGCAGTGCTTTCGCAATAAACCTCAAACACACTCATTCTTATTTTATAACTCTGAAAATTAGAAATATAAAGACTTTATATTCTTATAAAAACTAAAAAAAGTGTAACATTCGTCTTCTAATAATGCCACAGATTTGCATATTATCTAAGAAAAGCATCAACTTTCTAAAGAAATCGAGCAGCTGCACGTTGCTCGTTTCGAAATGATAAGAGCCGTCGTTTTCACTTCCATCACATTTCCTTGACATCCTGCACTGTGACTGCGCTGAAATCAAACTTAGTGTATTGCCAGGAAGGCAGGGCCGTCGATTACAGTGAGAGGATGGTTGGTGAGTGCAGGGAGTGATCCGACTGGTCACCGCTGCTGCTGCTGCGGCGATGAGCTATCCCACAGGGCTGTGGGGCCTGAGACTGCTGGACACTTCCCTGGTGTGATGTAACGTGGGATGTGCTGGAGGCACTGGTGTCTAAAGAGGCAGAGGGGTAGGTGAAAACTGTGCCAGCTGTGAAGGACATGATAGAGGGCGTGGAGAGAACTGGGGTGTGGAGTGACTCTGATTCAGTAGCAACAGCAGAGGCGGTTGATGTTACAGGCTTTGTGGGGATAGTTATCCTTGGTCTGGGCTTCTCCAGCTTTATGGGTGGTTTGATTGAGGGTCCAGGACTGCAGGAGTCCGCTGGCTCTAGTTTGATGGCTGCCAAAGAGGAAATGGATGGACCTGAGTCAGAATCCGAATCAGAGTCCTCTATTTTGCAAATGGGTCGGTGAGCTTCCAAGACCAGTTCAAGCTTCTCTTTCTCCTTTTGTAGTTCAGCTATTTCCTTCTGCAAGCGGGACTTTTCATCCTCCAGCATGTCTGTCTCCTACAGCAGGAGAAAGACAGAGTTTGATTCATTCATGCCTGACTGAGACCAACACCTTACATATTAACATATTACATATTACATATAATATTATATTAAAGATCACTCACAGTTTGCAGGGAATCTGTCAGCTCCCGTCTCCGATTGCGACACTTTGCTGCTGCCAGTTTATTCCTCTCCCTTCTTACTCTGCGCCTTTCGACTTCTTCCTGAGATAACTGAAGAGGAGAAGAAAAATTACTACAAAACATGAAGGCAGCCTAAACTCCTGAACTGGATTAATCCGGCTTGTTTTAGGCAAACAGCTAATTTCAAAACATCACATGCACAGTGAAATTCCACCACAGGCAGCATGACACAGGTGAAATACTCCCACCATGTGTGCACACTGACTCATCACAGCCATGGCAGCTGCAGGGTTGAAAAGCGTCTGGGCTTTTGTGCCTTTGTAACACCCGAATTCTGACTTCATCCAACATTCTACTGAATAATTGCAGTTAATCCAACATTTCCCGCCCTTTCGGGGTGATGAGTCACGCTCAGACCCCTAAAGTGACTCAGGTGTGAGTCACAGAACATGACTTGCCCCTATGAGTCACATGACAGTCCACTTCCTGTTCAATGAATTTACAACTTTATGACGAGGATGTGTGCCAAAGCGTGCCTGTGGAAACGTACAGAATTATACTGTGTGTTGGAAGTCAAATGTAAAGTTACTTTGAATGGAGTGATGTTTCTATAGTAAGAAAAAACTGATAATCACCTGTTAATTTTACTGTCAACAAAAACTCAGTAAAAAAACAAAGGAGAATACAACAGTGTGTGTTTAACTCCAGTGCTGAGAAAAAGATTTAAAAAACATATCTTTAGATTTTCTTCCTATTTCTCCATACATCTAGAGGAAGTGGCACTATTGTGTCACAGAGAATTACAGGACATTACGCACTGATTACACAAAAGTGATTGAGCCACACTCCACACCTCAGCATCCACACCACATTCCCTCGAGGGAGAATGCAACTTCCAAGAGGGCTCATTCACTTGTTTCTTAGTGGAAAAACAAAAAACCCACAATCATTTGTGAGCTATGTGCTTACATGTTCATCATTCCTGCGCCTTGTTGAAGATGGGCTGTTTGCAGAAGTTCTTATGACCCCTGTCCTGAGAAGGTGAGACTGGGAAGGTGGTGGAATCAGTGGCCTCGCCCCTGGGTGGACTGGGTAAGGAGGTACTGGTGATCGCGAAGGGCCTGGTGGATGCATGAGCGAGGGCTGGACCAGCCACTGGAGGTCCTGGTTGCTTGTGATGGCATTGAGGCTGGGGATAAACTGACTGGCCCCTGCCATTGTAAACTTCTAGGGAAAAAAGAAAAATAAACAGTTTGAAAGAAGAAGATTTTATATAATGAAATATTCACGATAAGTAACAAGTGCAGGATTAAAAGTGTAAACTAATATTATTGCGTAACTATTATATAACCATTATTATAAATATTATTATTTTTTATCTATTACTTGTACAACTAAACTAAATTACAGTGTGATGATTTAACAGCTTTAAATTTGTATTCCTTAATGTTAGCTAGAACATTTTTAGTTATTTCTCAAAACTTTAACCGTATTGCTCTTATTTGACCCCTAACCTTTTACCCAGTTCAGTCAGTGACAGCACACCTACCTGCTCCTGATGTGTGGCTGAAGTGCTGGTGTTTCCAAGGGAAGCAGGGTTTGTCCCAGAGGTGCCTGTGTACGGTGGGTTGCCTCTTTCTTGACTCCCAAAGTTTCGATACATCCTCTCTTTCTCAGTGAAAAGAAAACTGAATCCAGCTGTGGCTATATAGTCTTCCGTTCTCACGAAACTAAGTGGTTGAGTCTTGTGTTTTAATTCAAATAGAGGGCAAGCCCACCGACTTGCGTATTCGGTAGAGTCCAAAGAGGTCTTCAAGGGGGAGCGAGGAAAGAAATATCTCCTTGTTTTTTCCCCAGTCGTCCAAAAACCTTCGAAAACAACTTTCAGCGCTCACGGTAGTCCTCAGTCGTACATCCAGGATCGGAAGTCTGGGAATGATCGTGAGGTTGTAAACTCTTTAAGCAGCAGTATATGCACACCACGCCCCTCTGTACTTACGGGAAATAGTGTTGTCTGGAACCTCTCACGAAATTCTCCACGTGTCGTGACGTCATTTACCATATTTGGTGAGAGTTTCCTCCAGAGACTAGTACAGGGATTCCTCTCAAAGACAGCCCACACCTCGTGCTCTGAAACTGGCGCTGTAGTGATTTCTCTTATCTGGAGGAGGCTTAAAGCACTGGGTACACTTTATAACTGAAAGCCAAAGCACGGAGACTCTTTGTTTATACTGCAGTGAAATTTGTACATGTTATCAGTACAAGGGTAACCAGTTAAGGGTTGAAGTTTGAAAAAAACACACACACACGCAAACAGATTGCTCAGTGAGAAACCCTGAGCAATCTGTTTTTTCACACTTAAAAAAAACACTGATCTATTTTTATTGATGTGCACCTCTATTTCCAGGGATTATGGAAAGTTTAAGACATTTCTGTTTAGAAACAAACATGAAACAGTGACTAAAAGTATCAGTGTGACATAACTCCCCGCCTTATCTCCATTAGAGATAGGCTAAGGAGCAGGTGGTTCTTGTATACCTCTTGGTAATTTTCTTGGGCTAGGAAATCATGTCTTGTTCCATGTTCCCATGGGCTTGGGAACACCTCACTGTTCCCCCAGAAGAGCTAGAGGTGGCTGTGGAGAGGTCTAGGCATCTCTGCTTAGACTGCTGACCCAGTGACATGGACAACCAGGAGAACACTAATGGATAGGTGGATTAAATCAGTCCAGCCTGCTGCTACTGATACTGGTGTAATGATGTGGGTGATATTTTCTAACTGAACATCATATAAACACCACAGTATAGTAGTGAGTGTTGTTGCTGACCAAGTCCATCCCATCCCTGACCAGCGTACTCATCTTCTGATGGCTTCTTCAAGCAGAATAATGCACCTCGTCACAAAGCTCAAATCACCACAAACTATTCTTCTGAACATGAGTTCACTGTATTCAAATGGTTTCCCCAGTCAGCAGATCTGAATCC